AGAGGCCTGGGAGCTGGAGGGTCCTGCGCAGGATCTGAGCTGTTCCTAGCCCTGCACTCTTCTGGACAGAGAGCTCGGATGTTGTTCCTGGGATCTGTTGGAGCCATTCTCCCAGCTTAGGGCTCACGGCCCCGAGTGCTCCTACTACCACTGGGACCACTTTGGCCTTGACTTTCCATATCCTCTCTAGTTCCTCCTTCAGGCCCTGGTCCTTCTCCAGCTTCTCATATTCCTTCTTCCTGATGTTGCTGTCACTTGGCACTGCTACATCTATCACCACCACTGTCTTCTGGTCCTTGTCCACTACCACGATGTCTGGTTGACTGGCCAGTCCCTGCCTGTCCATCTGGATCTGGAAGTCCCACAGGATCTTAGCCCTGTTATTCTCCACGACCTTCTGTGGAATCTATTCTCTATTTTCTTATTCTATACATGGACGAGACAAGTGTGTGGGTGCGCATGTGTGTATATATATATTTCCTTTCTTCCACTGCACATAAAGACCTTCTTGGAAAGTAGTGCACCTGCTGTTCAGCAGGAAAAGATGTGGGCCATTATTAATGGGGGCTGTCCCACTGATGATCTTCCCTTCATTAATTAGACAGGCAAGCTCTCCTGCTGACAAATGGGAAGTCTTGTGCCAATGAACAATGTGATTTTTTATCCAGGTTCCCAATCCATTCATTACGAGGAGAGAAGAGGCAAGCAAGCAAGGGAAGTAAGACTCTTCCTACCCTACCAGTCACCGACACCACTTAAGTCATGGCAGCAGGAAGCAAAAGCTGGTAAGAGGAGGCATAACTAACTCTACTGTAGGTATCTGAGCAAGGTGGGAGGGGTGGGACTTTCAAACGATACCTCAGCACCCACCTGGCCGCTGCGTTGTAATGAGTAGAGTGGTGGCAACCCAAGAGGATTTCATTGTCTGGGTGGTGCTAATCGTGGTTTTGGAAACGTTAGTTGTAAGCTTGATAATTTGACTGTTAATGAATTGGTTGGGTTGCTCATTGGCTATCAAGAGAAAAATAAAGGTGGGGGGAGGAAAAAAAGAAAGAAATCAGATGCTAATTCCTTGAGAGTGACTTCTCAGAGGTGAGTAGGTACTGTGGTCTTTGGAAATTAGAGAACTAATCTGCTAAAATAGTCTGTTCTTTCTTTGCATTCTTAGATTGCAACCCAGCCTTCTTCAACTTGGGATCATCTGGATGAGTTCCAGCATAGCTGGAAGGAGTCTGGATGGAGGAGACAGGCTTCTTGAAAGACATAAATAGGTTCTTGCAAAATTAGCAAACTCATGCCTTTAGTTGTCTACTGTGAAGCGTGTTCAAACAAAGAATGCTGGCTGGGCAATTGAGTTCTTGCAAATCTTTGGATCACTTCTTTAATTTAATTGAAGAACTCTGAATTCACAATGCAGTCCCTTTTAGCAAACGCTGGGTCCATGAGTGAAGAGCACCCTTTGGAACTCCATAGCTGGGTTCTTACCAGGGGTGTGCAAATTGGGCCTGATTCCCTCTGAACAGTTTCAGATTGATTTGGAAAATTGATTGGATCCAATTCAGACTGAATCAGATGAATATGCCAGATTGGATGTGATTCAATGTAGTCTGACTCTGAGTCTTAAAATGCTTGCATGCATCTACAAAAAGCATTGGAACCAGTCCAAGTTGGTCCGAATCAATTTGGGTGCCTTTGATTAGATGAAATAAACTGAATTGCTTCTTTGATTGGATTTGTCAAATTAGTTTAAAAGCTCAAATAAATTAAAGTTTCATTGAATCAATCTGAATGTTCAAATATTCACATAGCCCTGCTTCACAGAGTGCATCAAGCTCTATCTTGGTTTCTCTAGGGCTTAAGATGTGTAATCCCAGCCGGCGTAATTTGCAAATTAATGTGGTTGTACTAAGGATTTAATGTATCATCTCCTCCTAGTCAGTTGGGACTTATTCAACAAGCCACATTTGAAACAAAACAAAGCTTAGGCTGATGTGAGAAAGCTAGTTAGTACGGCTTTATTTCCATTTCACTGCCTTTCCCCCAGCAATCAAAATATTTTCTGCAGCCAATTAAAAAGAGTTGTTAGTGGAAACGCATCCTAAACTCAACTTTGCTCAGCTTTGCTGTTGTTTATAAGAGATGAAAAGGGGCTGAGAAAGGCAAGAGACAGACATGGACAAAGAAAGAATGGCAGTGGTGATGTTCTTGCCAAATTCTTCACAAGGTGGGACACAAATTTAGAAGGTTTATCTTTGTGCAAATTCTGAGAATTGTCTAATTTGGTAATGTCAAGTCCAAGTCAAAAGTTAGAGGAAAGTTTTACTCCCTCCTCCCCACATTTATTCTCTGCCCCTCTCCAAAAAGGTCTCTCCATATTTTTCAACTGCTGCAAGGGTTATCATGAAGATGACGATGATTTGGGTACAGTGATATTTATACAGTATTGCCTGGAGATTATTAACACTCTAACGTTTGGATAACTTCAACCTTTCAAGATAAAGGAAAAAAAAGAAGTCTGTATCAATATGAACGGTGATTTCTAAACTGTTAATACGCATAAAGTAGTTAAAATTTTGCACCTAAAGCTAAACCCGGCACGAATCAACCAGTACAAAATACATTACATGATTTGTAATATAATAACGGTTTCTGCCTTAAACTGAATACTTAATCCTAAGGTCTCCACTGTAGGGTGATTAACTATTGTTCGTGCATGTTAAAGAAAAAAAGAAAACAGCAACAAAATAAACAACAATGAAAAGAAAAAGTAAAAAAAAAACGCTACAGTGGTACCTCTACTTACGAACTTAATCCGTTCCGTGACTCTGATCGCAAGTCGAGT